GAATGATCAATGTACACCCATGCCTACCAAACTCAATACATGCATATCTGGGATCGCGTAACCCCCGTATCCAACCCAATTTTTTTTGCCTCATTTTATCTTTCTTAAAAGAAATCTAGAAATCGCTGCAGATTTTTATGGCTATTCTACCCATGTTCTGCATCGATGCATTCCTCGGAATAACATCGCGTAGATACTTAAAAATAGATATATAAAAAATCGCCGCGCGCAAAATCAATCTCCAAGAATTTTAGTCGTAATTTCCGCCTCGAATATCATAAATTTTACAGCTTTTCCGAACGATCTTAAAATCTCCGAGATTTGAAAATCCCTAGTCAATCTATAAGAAGTATTTTCAAAATGAACTAGAAAATCTAGACCGCCCCCGAACGAAATGACCGCAAATAACCATTTTGAAGTAAAAATTAATTCTGAATATTTTTAGGTGAATATCACTAAATTCTATTTCTGCGTCTATTCAGATTTTTTTAGAATCTCTAATCTAATCTTTTTTGTTTATTCTTCGAAACAGAAAACCTATTCAGCATTTGCAATTTCCGAATCAATAGATCGCCCCTATTCTTTTTATCTAGCCCTCTAGCTTACCCTGCTAAGCCCATAGACAATTCAGGACTCCTTACTAGCTTCGCATCTAACTTCCTAAAAACCTTGACATATTTTAATGACGTTGTCCAACATGACAGCGAACTCATGCTCAACTGTCTCAAACTTCATGAGAGACATATCCACTTAATAGATGCTTGTTGCTGGTATGGTAGCCACCTTTTGACATCCCTAAACTTCTTAAGGCAGTAGCAAGCCCGAGGTCCATCAAAGTAGAGCTGTTCTTTTGGTAATTTCAGCCACAACACCAGAAGATAATGAGATCCTGAAAAGGCCCTCTGTTAAACGGTTTGTGCGATTTTTTCCGGGGTTCAGAGTCAGTGTGACTCTGGGTTGCCCGTTCAAGAGACGTCTGGTTTTCAGCTAGTCACATGATGCCACATACACACCTGGCTTCCAAGAAGTCATGGTTCACAGTGGATACACTGATCTGATTGCTGGTGAGGCAAGGCTTCTAAGTAAGGAGGACGCCGCCAAGCACGGCATGGGGCGTGGCCCGGCTGAGTGAATCAGCCAGATATGTCCCAGGATTGCATGGGCATCAGGTGCACATCAACATCTCCCAACGCTTGGCAGCCAAGAGATGAACGGGTCTTTGCCTGCAATACTGTACAATGGGAACATGTTGCATCTGTACGGAGCTTCAAACTAGCAAGGATTCAGAAAGACCTTGATGTTGTGCGGCTGCTGTTCTCCTTGCCACCACAAGCTGACCAACAGATTTGCTTCAACCAGGAAATCAGCGGTCGCATGGCCGTGTAGCAATGTTTGTGGAAGCTGCAACTAGGTTGACCGTTCTTTGCCCATCAGCAATTACTGGCGATCAGGCGAAAGAAGGGGATGTGCCAGAGAGTAAGGCTCATTATTTAGCTGTGAGACGCTTCACGCCTTTCAGGATACCTGCTCTTATCACTCAAGCATCTGCGATGCGTCTCAATTTCTCAATGCCCAATTTGTAGGAAAGGGAGCAAGCCTAAATGGTGGTGGGAAGGCAGATGCAGAGAGTTGCATCGCTACGAAACAACATGCTGCTGGATATCCGACCTCCACAGAGCCTTTGAAAGTAGTGCCACAACGAGCGCCGCTGCGATGGCCTCAGCTTTGCACCTATGCGCCTTGCAGCCTGGTGTGAACTCACGGCTGCTCACAATTTGCCATGACAATCCAAGGCTGGGGTCCTGGCCACACACGGCAATACCCAGAAGAGGTGAGGGGCACCTGCGATGCCATCAACCTGTACAGCACCAGCATGAAGGTGAGCTCTGCAAACCTACCCTGTGCATTTGATGCTTGTCTGTGTGAGCCTTCCTGGCCCTGCGATGCTCAGCGGCCGAAAGAGCAATGGGATCTGCAACGCTCTGCACACCATTCCCATCGGACAATGGAATTTCCTGCTGATAGCTTCCCTGCGGAAGCACCTTCTCCTGAAATTTCTTCGCATCCGNNACCGGTCCCGGCGAAGGTGCTTGCATATATTTCATGAAGCCAGGCTCAGCGTCATGTTTCCCTTCACTGGCGCCGTTTTCGTCATGTTGCGCAGTGGCCGAGACTGAAGATGCTAACAACTGCGGCGTTCCACTTTGTGCTGGGCTTGCATCTTGGGACAATGGAATTTCCTGCTGATAGCTTCCCTGCGGAAGCACCTTCTCCTGAAATTTCTTCGCATCCGGGGAGCCCTGCATGTATTTCTGGTACTCAACACCGGTCTCATCCATTCTTGGGATGTAGTCCCTGTACGAATCTGGAATGAATGGCCGATACTTCTTGTCGACAACCGGTCCCGGCGAAGGTGCTTGCACATATTTCATGAAATCCGGCTCAGTGCTATCCGCGTGCTCGCTGTCCTAGTTGATGGTTGCGGATGCATTCCAATTTACACCGATACACTCCAAATTTCACGAACAATCCTGCTGCAATTGCCAACTTACAAAGTGTGTTTTCCGGCCAGTCCTGCAACTGTTCAGCACAAGATACACATGCTGCCAACAAGCATACAAAGACCCAGGGCAGCGAGGTCATTCCCTGAATCACCTTATCCACGTGCATCTGGTGATTTGAGATGTTCGCATCTGTGTGGACAGCCAGCCTGAGGCCCCGACGAGAGAAATTACTCTTCAAAGCGGGCCTACTGTCTACATCGGCCAAACTTGAGGAAGCAAGTCGACCAAGGGACTCTCAACTTCAGTTTTGCTGCAAGGTACCCATACATCCCATACATCTTCCTGTCTGCTCGAATGGCGTGGTCCAGCCAAACGCCGGCATCACGGAGCTTGTTTTGTTTCGAGCTGCCGGCAACCAGCTCTGCTTGTGGATGGTCACATCAGACAGCGGCACAGCATTAAGAGTGAGTGAATGAGGGGCCCTGCGTTGAGTCTGCCCATGCCCTCTGGCCTGAAGCAAGTATACAGAAATTGACGGCCTTGACCGGCGCTTTTTTCAACTTGCCAAACGAACTCAAGTCAAAGGGGTGGGCTGAAACTTTGGCTTAAGCTACGAACCACCTTGTCCAGAAGCTCCCTTCCTGCAATATTGTCCATCAAGGACTACACTTCCAATAGTTGCGGCGTGTTACCACGTGTATGAGTGCAATTAGGCCCTGAATGCATCATGGCCATTCCAGAGTATGTTCACGTAGGTTAACTTTTAAGGCCGGCTGCACTTGCACTCCTATGGGCAGCCAGTCAGGAGTCCTCTCAGTCTCCTTGTGGCTCCGAAAACTGATGGCTGCATGGCTAAACGCGCGAAATTCGATGATGAGAAGCTTCGCGTGTTCTGCAACTACAGCATTTTTTGCCGCTGGCTTCCTGAGCTCTTCACGAAGGACTTCGAGCTACGTTGCAATTTTCTGAGCATCTTGTAATATCTTGAGCACCCGGCCAGTCGCAGCGAGCTTGTTCCTGGAGACCACATCTGCGATTCGCAACACAAAACCTTGAACTACTCCGAGACGGCATGAGACCGCCATACTTCTACTTCTTTGCCGGCAGTGTGTCGACTTGGTAACCTACCGCCGCACTAGATGGCAAGACCAGGACCTGCCTAGCACAACCTTGTCCCAGCGGATCAGAGTCTCCAACGTTAGCCAACCCTCACCCGTCCCAGGGCCACAGCAGCCACAGACACGGAGACAAAATCGAGCTGCGCAATTAGCCACAGGGCAGGCGCTTGTTCCACTTGTCCGTTTTGCAATGCAGTGCAAGTCCGCTCGCTGGATTTTACTGAATGTCCTTTCTGAACCTGTGCTTATCAGCTTATCATCCTGCATCTTCCTATCTGCGTCCAATGACAAGCGCATGTGCCGCCGGATTCGGCCTTAACGCCTTCCGATTCTGGAGGATCTTGAATCTCGCAACACCCTGCAAATCAACACATCTCAGACTCTGCATTCTTGCTCGCGAGCCGAAGCACCTCCATATTCCGAAAGACAATGCCAAAGTGTTCCTCCACCTTGTCAGCAGAGGTCTGGAAAAGGTGGGCAAGAGTACAACAAGATCTGCTGATGTTCACGCGCTTCACTGCATCAACACTGCATCTCCTGGGCCTGCCGAATGACGCCCATCTCTTCAGGCGACGTTGGCAGGCTCATGACCTACCGGCAAACAAAACTGCAAGTGATGCATCAAGTCCTGCGACTGCTGGGGCAGACAGTGCAATCGTTGTAGGACATGCAGTAGTAACACTTCAGAAGAAATGCCGGCGTGAAGCAGGCCTCAAGCATCCAATGTGGACGCAAATGCACTTCCTATTCCAGTTGTTGGTACTCAGCATCCTTGAATTCTTTTGGGAGTACTGCGAAGACTGCAATGAATTCTCTTTTGGGGTCTCTCGGTTTGCATTGGCAGCGCTTGCGGTCGGCCCCCTGAATCTTGTGGGCACAATGCTTCTCCACACGCTCATGACGCCAGACATGAGCAGGGCATGCCAATTCTCTAGGTATGCTCAAGCCTTTACCGCAGGATCCACGCGCTTTATGCGATCCATATAGTCTTCCTTGTGTTGTCTGCAGCAAACAATCACTGAATGCCAAGCTGGAAAGCAAAAGCTCTTCATGCACAGCCCAGCAGCCAAAGTCTGTGGCATATCGAAATTAACCATCCTTGGTTGCCACCAATCAACAGCCAAGGCAAACAGCTCTGGCACAACCAACCCTGCAATGCCATACCAGGCGCATGTTGGCAGCCGATGCATCATCATTTTGCCGGAGCTGTGATTCAGAGATGATGCCAGCGCATTCCCGAAGCTCCTATCCGAGCTCAGAAATAGCTTCCAGACAACACAGGTCTCGACGGCACAGCAAATTTCAGAGCGGTTGAACTGAGTGCACAGGACCGTGTCATCTGCATGCGTCCTTGAATCGCTTGGACTCCTGCAAAATCGCAAGCTTCCATGGTACGCACAAAAAGCTGCGTCTGGCATGAGTTGGCCTGCACGCATCCCGAATATATTTCTTTCTTTATCTGTCTCTTTCTTCTACTTGAAAACGCTCAGCGCATGCCGCCTGGGTTGGAACCACATGCATCGGAGTAGCGAACGTGCGTGCTGCCAACGTTTGCCACGACCAGTTCTCGCCTTCCAAGTGGTCTATGCCTTCTCCCCTTTGGTGCACGCATCCTCCCTGCACAAGCGGGCTGTGAGACTAGACTGCATTCTCCCCGCGATTTTGCAGCGCGTCGCAGACAACTCCCCAGTTTAGACCCGCGTGCACTTCAGCTGTCTCGAAACCAGCTCGCCATGTTTCTCTCTCACTGTTTGTTCATGTCCTACTCATGTGCTACGTGCTAGCGAGAAAGCTAACACCTGCAGTAGGCCGCTGAGCACGCCTCAGGAGAGGCCTGAGACCCTAGATGACCCTAGGATGTTGCTAGTTCCCCACCCTCGCAGTGGGGTTGTTAGATTTTAAAGTACATGTTGTCCTCGCCCGATTGGAAGCTGACTTTAGTGACCAACCACCAAGTATCCGTGCAGTGCCCAACCACCAAGTATCCCTGCAGTGCCCAACCGCAGAGTATCCTTACACTGCCGAACCGCAGAGTATCCCTGCAGTGCTCAACCACTGCGTATCCCTGCAGTGCCCAACTGCAAAGTATCCCTGCAGTGCCCAACCGCAAAGTATCCCTGCAGTGTCCAACCACCAAATATCCCTGCAGGCTGCAGTGCCCAACCGCAAAGTATCCTTACACTGCCCAGCTGCGAAGTATCCCTGCAGTGCTCAACCACTGCGTATCCTCGCAGTGCCCAGCCGCCAAATATCCCTGCAGTGCCCAATTGCAAGGTATCCATACGGTGCCCAACTGCAGAGTATCCCTGCAGTGTCCAACCACCAAATATCCCTGCAGTGCCCAACCGCAGAGTATCCCTGGAGTGCCCAGCAGCAGAGTACCAATATTCTTGCAGCGCATTTGCAGTGCTGCAAGGAAGACAGTTGAGGGGGGGCAGGGAAACTTTGCACTTCTTGTGCAATAACGGCTTTAGGGTGGGGATGCTCGAAGTAAATAATGAGGTATTGTTTAGGAGGAACCCTCCACCC